GTTGTCTGAACCAAGGAACTTCGCGTTCAACATCGGCGAGTATGCGTAAGAACAGAGGACGACTCATCCGAAAACGATTACTAAAATCCTCCGGTGTATAAACACACGGATTATTAAAGTAGTCGTTTAGAAGTGAATCGTGGGCGGCCGCTCGATCCCGGTTAAGACGTTGGCGTCGGGTCCGTCGTCGGGAGGATTCGGCTTCTTCTTGGCCATCTTCCCACCATTGAATACAATTCGTCGCGAAACAACAAAAAAATAAAGCTCTTCTTTCATCGTCGGAAGATGAACCCATTTTTAAATTATATTTTATAAATATTTATAATAAATAATAAATTTTTTTGAGAGAATATATAGTAATAAAAAGAGATTTGTTAGAGAGAGGTGTGAGGAAGATGTATGAGAAGGGTGGATTTTATAGGTTTTTTTTTTAAAATTTAATTTTTTTTTAATTTGGGGGGGGGGGGGTTAACGACATTATAGCCGTTGGGAACAAAAAACGGCTCTCACGCCGCGTCAAACAAATGACGCAGGCGCCCTCACGCCCTTTTCACGCCGGCGGGGGGCGGTGTTTCACGCCCCGGGGCGTTAAACGCCCCGTAACGCCGGTGGGCGTGAGGTGTATACCGTGTGCTCTTAGGCATCCAAATTAGATGCTACCATTGAAAGAATAAGATGTTGAGAGAGGTGCTAAAATAACATCTTTATAGTGGAGCCCACACTTGAGCATCTAATGTGAGATGTTGCCATTAGAGGATCTTACCATATTTTGTGCATTTATTGTATAGATTTTCCTTGTAGAAGTTATGATGGGGTATGTTCCTGGATTAAGTTATAAGACACTTGAGTTGAACCAGATTTAAAAGATTGAATCTAATTGATTACTTAGTTCAACTCAAGAGTTTACATACCCATTATTTTCTTCACACTTTTCTCATGTGTGATACTCTTTAACACTTATCCTAAAGTGGCCAACCGGTCATTTTGAATCTAACTGGTTGACCTACAAATGGACTCACATTCCCTTGATTTTGTTTTGACTACCAACACTTAAAGGAACACGAGCCGTTGGGTATGGACTTCTAGACGACCAGGCTAAAAACTAGGGACTGAGATTGGTATTTCTGACGGAACCGCTGTCTTGCGAGAGCGTACTAAACTTAAAGAATAGCTCCATTAGTTATATTGATATTATTCTAGGCATGCAATTATCCGGTGTAAATAGTAAGTGTATTATTAGACCATTTATCTAGTAAATAGACTTGTTACTTTAGATCCTAATTATTCCTCTCATGCGTATGTATATCTTCATGGCTAAATAACGTCATTGACCAATGACCATAGTACTTTGAATAAAATCACTAAGCATATATTCTCTTATTTATATAGGCTACGAAATATCAAAAAGTGCTACCCAAAATTGGCGCCTAATTTGGGAGGCACTTTTTTGAATCGGTTATTTGTAAACAACCGATTTAAAAAGTGTCTTCCAGAACTGGCGCATATTCATATTTCAGTGGAGTTTAAAGGAGTATAATATTAGTGTGACCCATTTTATCCTATAAAAATTGCTAGGTAAAATATTATTTTACATTTATTTGTGAACAAAAAGTATAGTTTTTGAACAAATAATATAGTTTCTGAATAGTGGGAAAATATATATGTCTCAATTAAAAAAAATAATTGGACAATATTCTTATAATCATGATAAAATAATTGTATTCTTGTAATTAGGATTGCCCCATAAATTAAACTAGAAAGCATTCATCAGTACTCAATGACTCATATTGCCACTTTATTGATCCTTTCATCGGTTCTTTCATCCATTCTTTTTCACTTTTTTGGATCTCATCTTTAACTTCTTATTTCAAAAACAAAACTTGTATCTTACAACTTCGAACCACACTATTTTTATGAGTATTTTATAAGATTTTTTATTGCACTATATTCGAAAAATGTGCTCATACAAATTTACTTTTTGATCTTATTTGGGAACAACGTTTTCAATTCACATTTTTTGATATAATTTAATATACTCCGTGTTTTGTTAAAGAAAGTGATTAACTATGTAATCGGCATTTCGTTAAGTTTTATTGAAATTGCAAATTGAAAGCGACGAAAATTGATGAGAATACCAAAAATGATATGAACACGTTAATGTTTGTATGGATATCAAATTGGTAAAAATCTTTCTAAGAGAGCGTATAATTTGCTCTACAATCATTAATGAAACTTGAAGCTCTATTAATTAGGAAGACGAGTACTAGAGAGATGAGTCAAAATAGATCATACCCTTTTTTTATTATCCTTTTATAACCAAGTACTACCTCCGTCCACGAGTATTTGTCCAGTTTTGACTTTTTCCGGACAACTATTTTTAACCTTTGACTTACAATTAAATAAAATATATATTGTATATTAATTAGATAAAATGATATTTTAAAAATATTTTATATAGTAAATGAAATAAAAACTAATTTTATTTCAATATCTAATATCATTTTTATTTAATTTGAGGTCAAAATTTACCAATTTTGACCAAAAAAGTTAAAAGTGGACGAATACTCTGGGATGGAGGAGTAGTTAACCTTGAGAGTCTATATTGTGCACCTCGATGTACCTACAGCTATAGGTACATCCGATAAACGTTCATTTTGAATCAAAATAGTGTGCATTCCAAGCTTGGTCACCGTAATGTGTTCATTCTGAAACAAGCTAGTGTTCATTGTAAAATAACGTAGTGTCATTTTGAAATATTTTTAATTACAAGTTTACGTATTATGATATACGATACATCCGGTTGTACCATATAATTTGCAGTAATACCTAAAAAGATGTGTGATTAAGGAATAATTCAAGATGAGACATATATACTCGTATGTGTGAAGATAGAATAGGAGAAGAAGACATAAATGTGAAGAATGGGAGAAAGACAAAAAAACATAGATAAATATGGGCCCCACTACAAAGCAGCCCAAAGTCCCACCACTTCTCCCTTTTTCTTCCTTCATATTCACAGCTCTCCCCTTCCCCCCCTTCATTCCCATCTTCACCAAACCTCCCCTCACTTCACCACTCCACTTCTCAAAAAAACCAAAAAAAAAAAAGAATTGAAATATTTAATTTTTTTTTGCCAAAAAAAGAGGAATTTTAAGTTGGGTTTTTTAGCTATATTTGTATGGCCCTTACAACTTTGCAAGTTTGCATGGATTCATCTGCTAATTGGTTAGAGGTACTCTATCTAGCTTCAATTCTTCTTGATTTCCTTTTTTATTATAAATTATCTGTCCGAAAATCTTTTTCTGTTTTGATTTTTTCTGGTCAAATTTTCTTCTCGTTTGGCGGAAGGTCGTATAGTCAATTTTTTTTGAAAGTGACAAAAACTTGTTAATTTTTGTTCTTGAGGTGATGAATGATATGGGGAATGTGTACATGTAGGGCACAATGCATGAGGAAGGAGGGATGATGGGCAACTCATCCTCTTCACCACCAAGTGGGGTAGACATTCTCACATGTTCAAGGCCAATGATGGAGAGGAGGCTAAGGCCACAACATGACCAATCCCTAAAATGCCCTAGGTGTGACTCCACCCACACAAAATTTTGCTACTACAACAACTACAGCCTCTCCCAGCCCAGGTACTTCTGCAAGACTTGCAGAAGGTACTGGACCAAGGGCGGGACCCTCAGGAACATCCCAGTCGGTGGTGGGTGCAGGAAGAACAAGAAGGTCTCGTCATCTTCTTCCTCTGCGCCTTCTTCCACCGCGACCTCGCCCACCTCCTCTTCGTTCGGCAACAAGAAATCGTCGCTCCCAAATTTGCTCCCGGGCCCTCAGAGCCTCGGGTTGCTAACCCCTCCGGACGACCACCTCTCCTCGTCGTTCCCGGAAATGATGCAGTTCTCAAACCCTCATCATCACCACCAGTTTGGTGATAATTTCCATCTGGCCCCTCATTTCATGGGAATTGACAGCCCTCCCCCTATAGACTTCATGGAGGGCAAATATGGAAATGGTGGGTTTTTGGGTGCCACTTCTTCCACAAATCCTCCCTCTCCAAGAAACATGCAGTTGGATTTTCTTGGCACTAACAGAAATGGAGACTTTGGGATCATGGCACAAACTTTCCCTCCATTTGGGATGATGTCCAACAATGTGGGGCCTACTATGCTCCCCTATGATCATCATCATCAGTTCATGAATGACATGCATCATCATGATCATGATGATCATGTTGATATGAAGCCAAACCCTAAGATGTTGTCACTGGAATGGCATGATCATCAAGGCTGCTCTGATAATGTTGGAAAAGACTCTTTTGGGTACATCAATGGAGTGGGGGGCTCATGGAATGGCTTGATCAATGGCTATGGCACTTCTGCTACAAATCCACTAGTCTAATTAATCAAGCTTTAATTAATTACTTAATTAATTAATTATACATATATAGAGGTCTATTTTCCTAATTAAGTATTATCTATGCAGGTTTCCATCATGGGGTTGAGATTTAAGCTTTTTTTCACATGTTAATCAATATGTCCTATGTATACATTAATTGATTTTTAGGTTATAGATATAAGTATTATGGTACTCATATGGTACGTACCTATCCGATGTCGTATTGACGCACCCAATCATATGTATCCCCCGGTCTCGATGTCGTGTTATTGAGCACGGGGACCAATTCAAGTTTGGGTGTGACAATACGACATATGAATGAATGAAAGTCGAGCGTTGTAACCTTGGGAACTTATGGTCTGGCCTCGATGTAATTTTTTAAATTTATTTTGAAAGAACTCTCTTTTTGTGTGAACAAAATCTCTTTATTATTATTATTATTATTATGATTTACTATTGTTATTATTATCATTATTCTTGTTATTATTATTACCATAATCATTGTTGTTGTTTATTACAAAGTATGATTATTACTTTTAGTATGATTATTATTATTAGTATCATCATTATCATTATGATGCTCATCATTATATATACAGAGTATGTTTGCTAATTGTAGTTTATTTATGACTTGATTAATTACCTACGGCTGGCTATAAGAGTGTGAACAAGGGTTTGCAAAAGTCCATATATTCCACTAATGATCATTACTCCAACATATCTTGTCTTTTCTAATGATATCCTTCTCTCTATTGACTACATTAAGTTTACTAACTATGTTGAAAAGGTAAAAAAAATGGAGTATATATATGATTTACATAAATTACATTTTTTGTTTAAAATATAAAAACTATTTTGAACGACATATTTCAAAAAATCTTTTTCTCTAGTATTTAGGGAAATGACTTTAGTTTTCATGTTATTTAGTGCAAATATTTCATTTTTCTATCATATTTTCTTTTTAGATCGTCTCATATATCTCTGTTATATATACCTTCTTCTTTTGGCAAATAAGTAACATGAAGATTACATTTTTACCCTCAATCCTCAGCCACTCACAAGCTTACAAATGTATGGAAGAAGGGCACAAATTTTATTTTGAAAAGCACAAATTTTATTTTGAGAATTTTAGAAAAGGGCAGCCTAAAGTTAGTTAGGCATGGAGATTGGAGAGAGTAAATCACTAGAAAATAGGCAAAATTGGAAAAAAAAGAAGAAAATATTGATGATAAAAAATATTTTCATTCTTTATTTCAAAGGGAATTATATATTTTTTTGGGGAGCAGGAAAATGTTAAAATTGTCAAAGTTGAGAGGGAAAGAAGTGGAGGAATTCTCTTTATGCTGAATCTTAAGGCAAAGAATATGGACTTTGGTCTATTGTTTAGGCCATAGCCATTGTGTAGCCTAGCACTTGATTTGAGAGTTACTCCTATTCAAAAATTATTTTTCCATTCACTATTTACATAATCAAATTTAATTTACTTGTTGGTCTATTTTCATTGCTAGTTTGATAATATAATTTTTTATTTTTTAATTTCATATCATTGAAGTCTTTGATAACCCCTTTATACATGAAGGACTAGGACTCGGATGAGTGTTGACCAATAAAACTTTGTTCTCTTTAACTTATTCTTATTATTATTTATTATTACTTTTTTTATTGGAATCGGATCAGATAAAAAAACTTTAAACTACATTCAGATCCGATCAGACCAAATTAAATCATATCGAAACTCATTCTAATCAAACAAAAACCATTCAAATCGGGTAAATGGAACATGGTCAAACTCTACTTATCCTAAACTTTAGATTAATCAAGTTGTTAAAAATTTTATAATCGAGTGACATAATTGTGACTCTCCTAAATAGTAAAACATGCACACACATGTACGCGTACCAGTTTCAAAATGATATACCCTTTTTGTCTTAAAATAAGATTTTTTGCGATTCCAATTTTACCTCGGTGGGGTTCTAGTGACACCGGAGTACGGTGACACTCCGGTGCCACTGTCATTTTGGGACACTTCCGGTGCTGCGTTTGTAAAATTGACGGTTCCTACCCCCCCTAAACCCCCACCCTACCCTTGCCCGTGAACCCCCACCCCAATCCCGCCGTAAGCCCCCCACAAAATGTGTGGCTATTATGCGTTGCACCGGAAGTGCAGGGGCGGGGGTAGGGTGGGGGGTTTAGGAGGTGGGTTAGGGGGGTAGGAACCATCAATTTTACAAACGGAGCAGCGAAAGTGCTCCAAAATGACAGTGACACCGGAGTGTCACCAAAAGCCGGTGTCAATAGAACCCCACCGATTTTACCCCTAATCATCTTCTATTAGAGTTAAATTTCAACCCCCTTCCCTCCATTACAACAGATATTTCTGTCTTTCTTTCTTTCTACTTATTCAACGACATCAAGCACGACCTCTGCCCTCCCTTCGTCAGTTTATTTGTCTAATTTGACCGGAGTCAAACACGATAAACTTTTATGATCAATTAAATAAAAATTGCAATGTATATTAGTTTCCTCATCCAATAATGATTAACACTATTCAAACGATGTGGAAAATTTCTTAACTTTTAAAATTATTTTATTTATAAAATTGTATGGAAATCAAAATACAAATTAGTACATATTTAAAAAGTATATATCAAAAGTTATACTCCCTCCGTCCCCTTGTATTTGTCCACATTTGACTTTTGGAACTGTTCATCTAAGTACTTTGACTCATCAAATTCTCTCAGTGTGTAAGCCTAAATATAGTTGTGTGATCTTGTTTGATTTGTCTTAACATATAGATTATTAATATATAATTTTAATAATTTTTAAATATACAAATTACAAGATAAAATGGATTAAAGAAGTGCATTAGATGGTGTGTAAAAATGAAAGTGGACAAATACATGGGGACGGAGGGAGTATAAAACAAGAGATGTTGATACAGCACAAGGGAGAGCCACACCTTAAAAGCTAGCTGTTAAAGTGGGAGAACCCTTGGCTATATAAACCCATCACCAAGTTCCGCATTTAACCGGTGTGGGACAATGAAATCAGTTAATATCATTCGACCCCCCATAAGGCCCAACGTCCTCGTTGGTCACGGCTACGTTGGTCACGGCTGGTTTCACCAGGCCACCACTCCGTGGGCCACCACTCCGTAGGCCACCACTCCGAGTTGGCTCTGATACCATTGATACAGCACAAGGGAGAGCCACACCCTAAAAGTTAGCTGATAAGGTGGGAGAACCCTTGGCTATATAAACTCATCACCAAGTTTCCCATATATGGCGTAATAGTAACTATGTAAATCATTTTGGAACACTCTTTGACCTTAAACTATGAAAATTAATAGACACACACATTTTAAGACATATGGTCTATTGTTTAGGCCATAGCCGTTGTGTAGCCTAGCATTTGATTTGAGAGTTACTTCCTCCATTGAAAAATTATTTTTTTGTTCATTATTCACATAATCAAATTTAATTTACTTCTTGATCTATTTTCGTTGCTTATTTGATAATGTGATTTTTTATTGTTTAATTTCATGTCATTTTTCATTTAAAAGAAAGTCGAGTCAAATGTTATAACTTACAACGGAGAGATACTTTTTTTTCGGACAAGGGAAGTATTTATACTCAAAATGTTACTATGTGAAAAAAGTCTTCGATAACCCCTTATACATGAAGGACTAGGAGTGATGAGTGTTGACCAATAAAACTTTATTCTCTTCATCTTATTCTTAGTACTTATTTTCTTATTAGAATCAGATCAGAAATAACTTTAAATATTACTATATTCAGATAAGACCAATCATATTGGAACGAAACTTATTACAATCAAATCATAACCATTCAGATTAGGTGAATACAACATGGCCAAACCCTGTTCATCTTAAATTCTAGATTAATCCAGTTGTTAAAAATTTTATAATCGAGCGACATAATTGTGACTCTCCTAAATATGTAAAACTTGCACACACATGTATGCACCAATTTCAAAATGATATACCCTTTTGTCTTAAAATAAGTTTTTTTGCGATTCCAATTTTACCCCTAATCATCTCCTATTAGTGGGTAAAATTTCAACCCCTTCCATCCATTACAACAAACATTTCTTTCTTTCTTCCTTTCTTCTTCAACAACATCAAGCACCACCTCTGCCCTCACTCCGTCGCCACTTCAACAACATCAACCCCTTCAATCTTTATTACTACGTATAAAATGTCACAAATTGACCAAAAAACCATCATAAGACTTGAATTATGGGACATATATAGTAATATTAATATATTCCTTCTATCCCAAAAAGGATTCTGATGTTTTCTTTTATAGAGTTCAAAAATGTGTTAACAAGTGAAAAATGTGTAAGTAAAACCTACAGAGTATTCTTATATATAAAGGTCACATATTCTTTACTTCTAAAGAAAAAACCAAAGGGCAAATTATTTTAGAATATCTAAATAAGGAAAGTAGGAAACTGTGAAGTTTGTTATATGGGACAAATGAAGTAAAAAATAAGGAACAAAAAAACATAAAAAGAAAGAAAGACACAAATTATCAATGTTTTTTCTACTACTACATTTGACATCTGTTGTTACAACATAACATTTGCACAATACCCATCACACCTACAATGTGTCTTGGAAAAGGCAAAACACTAAAACCCCTATACCAATATGTTTATTGCACAACACTTTCTTGATAAACCTAAGGGGATGTTTATAACCAATTCAAAGAAGAAGAAAAAAAACCCCAATGTTCCCCAACAGACAATAATGACATCAAGAACAAAAACTAAAGAGACACGACTTTTTTATCGACATTTTCAAAGTTCTTTTCCCGCCCCATCGCGATTCTTTTGAGCCACAAAGCAAAGAGTTGCGCTTGAGGTACCCCAAGTCTGACCCGACCCCACCTTTCTGACAGACACTCCATAAAGGCTACATGTGAAATGTCTGTGAGAAAGTGGGATCCACTTGGGGTACCCCAAGTCTGACCCGACCCCACCTTTCTGACAGACACTCCATAAAGGCTACATGTGAAATGTCTGTGAGAAAGTGGGATCCACTTGGGGTACCCAAGCACGATCCCAAAGCAAATGCAGCAAAGGGCATATATAATATTATATATATACTTCTATGAGGACGAAGAAGACGAACCAGCCATGGCGTTTAGTTTCTTGAGGAAGGACTCAATATTGGATTCTAGCTTGGCTTTCATTCCCGGGTCGATGTTGTCCCCTTCTTTCTCCAGCACTGATCTCATCATTTCCAGATTCTTTTTCATGTACACAATGTCAACGGGCCCCTCTCCGTTTCGGGGCGGTGGTCCCGGGAGGTTCGGGCTGCCCGCGGGCAAAACAGTGTTTTTGTGGGCCCCGGTGTTGTTATTGCTCAACGCTGTTGCCTTATTGGCCACTCCATTGTTCGGGCCCTCGCCGTTTCGGGGCAGTGGTACCGGGTGGATCGGGCTGTTTGCGTGCCAAACGGTGGTTTTTTGGGTCCCAACCGTTGTTGCCTTATTGACCACTGCATTGTTAATGACCAGTGCAGGACAATGCACCCGGAAGGTGGCGAGTGCGGGCCCAAACGGATTGTTTGTCTCCAAACTCTTACAAGCTGCTTCGGCATCACTGGCTCGGATAAAGATGACCCGGGCAGTGGATTCACTTGTGAACTGGGTCGCGGGCTCTGAGACCGGACCGAATTTCGCAAATGCTGAAATGAGAGATTGTTTAGTTGGGAGGGGATGTCCGGGGAAGAAACTCAATAGAAGCGTGCTCCCCCCGGCGGGTGGGCCCACGTTAGGTGACTTCGGGGTCCTCTTGCGCCGAGGGGGTTTCGGGACCAGACTGTAACTAGCAAGTGCGGGTCCCAACGGGTTGCTCTTCTGTAGACCCAGGCATGCTACTTCTGCACAACCGCTCCCAGCGAAGACGATCCGGGCGCTGGAATCGGTCACGAACTGGGTTTCGGACTCCACGAGTGGGCCCCACTTCATGAACGTCTCGTTCAGAGATTCTTTCGACGGCAGAGGATGGCCAGGAGCGAAATTCAAGAGAAGTGTGGCCCCCGCGGCTTTCTGGGGCTTGGCACTCTTTCCGGGAGGAGGAACCGTACTGACGCTGGCAAGGGCGGGCCCGAACGGGCTGCCCGAAGTTTCTAAGCTCTTACATGCTCCTTCTGCATCGGACATCCGCGTAAAGATGACGCGGGCGCTAGATTCGCCCGTGAACTGCGTTTCGGGCTCCGAAACCTGACCGAACTTCATGAACGTCGCGACCAGAGATTCTTTAGAAGGCAGAGCATGCCCCGGAGCAAAGTTCAAGAGCAGTGTGGCCCCACCAGTGTCAGACTTGCTCCTCCTCCTCCTCCTCTTCTTCTCTTGTTGGGGTTGGCCCACAGATGCATGGCCACCACTTGAATCCGCCAAACCCTTTCCATTCAAATCCGGTACACCCGCGGGCCCCACCGCCGTCGAAAGCGCTTCCTCCATTCTCTTTCTCTTCCTGGGCCCGGCTCTCCAAGAAAGCGATGGGCCTTCGTTCCAAGGCCCACCGTTCGGGGCAGGGCGTGGGCCCATTTCAAGAACCACGCCCTTGTTTTTAGCCCTCATCGGTTTGAGTTTACCCCTCGACGTATCCGGTCCGGTCACCTCCATATTCTCAACCGAGAGTCTCATGCCGCCACCGTTCATATCCGGCAACCCATGGATCACTCCAATCTCAGGGGATGTTTTACTCCCTTCCATCTTCTTCTTCTTCATCTTCTTTTGAACTTTCCCCCCTTTGGTTGTTGACATGTTCCCTTCTGAGCTCTTCTCCTTCACTTGCTTGTTCAAAAAAGAGAACTTTCTGAAGTTATAAAAGAAACCCAATGCCGAAACCGAATCTTTACTTCCCATAGGATAAAGACAGTCACGCGCCGTCGAGTTGAGAGTTTTGACCATTTCGGTCAAAGGCGAGTGACCAACGCTCTCCAGTGTCCCATATAAGCTCTTGAAGCTTCTAGATTTCCTCCTAGGGGTTCTTCTGGCTGTGAGGTTTCCGGAAGACTGCTCGGAAACCGGTTTCTTTGACTCCGTTTCCGGATCTTTCGGTCCGGTTTCCCCTTCTTGAGAAGTGGAACTGACCTTCTTGTTCCAACTGTTGACATAGGGGTAGGAAAGGTATTTGCTTTTCTTCCTTTCTCTCAAATCCGCAGATTTTTCGTCTCTCTCTTCGGAGCTCTCCCCAATGTCCCCCAGTTCTTCTTCCTTCTTTGCATCGTTGCCCAAACTGCCCTTTGCATCATTGCCAAAACTGCCCTCGTTTCTCGGCCTGAGTTTATGCACCGACAGTTGCTTATGCCCGAGAGATGAGTAAAAGGCAGATAGGCAATTTTTCATGACAGCAAACTCAATGCCACCGGGGAAAGAAACGTCCACGGCTTTTAACCTTATGGCTTCAAGAAACTTTGTGGGGTCGAATTCGGATGCGGAGAAAAAGTCGATTTTGCCCCTATGGGTCGGTTTTTTGTTCTCTTTTGGGGGAGAAAAACAAGAACACGACATCTGCTGGTGTATGCGGTGACCTACCTCGATCACAGCCTTTTCTACTGCTCCTCGGAAGCTTCTAGAGCTGGACTGTAGCAGCATTTGGTCGAAACTGTCGACGAAGGGCTTCAACTGAGAGGAGGGGCAACGGGATGATATGATGTTCCCGAAATGTTTGACGAGAACGGGACCCGTTTCATCCGACGGGTCGGACACGATTCCGGGCCACCATAGCGACGACTTGGTTCTCACCCATACCAAATCACCCACATTGAACTTGTGTTCTGGGCCACTGCTGCCATCTCCCTTCTGACAGATTCCGTTCCCCGGGCCGAAAACATCCACAACCAGGGAAATCCGTTCATCCGAAACCTCTTTCGGTTCATCTCCCAACTTGTCATCACCTATTGAATGACTCTCCTCCTCCACCCCCAATGTGAGCTCCACACAGCCATCACCACCTAGGGTTTCTACAACACTCCCAGATTCCATCCAATTAATGCAAAGTTCCCAACTTTTCCAACTAATTCCCCGAGAAACCAACACAATAACTGCACCAAACACAAATCACACAAAGTAACTAATTAAATCAAGAACTGGGCATTTTAAATTTTTTGCCTTTTTCAACATTCAGCTCAAATCAATGCAACAGCAAAACCAGGCAAATTACCAAAACCATCAAGAAAGATAGAGAATACCCAAACTGAAACAACAGATTTCATGGCTAATCAATTGAATACTTCTGAGTGAGATTCATAATTACCTGAAGAACAGCAGCTCTAAGAAGGGCTTTGCATTTTCAAGAAAAGGGTCGGAGAGAAGAAGGAAAAGAGAGAGAGAGAGAAAGAGAGATCTACAAATGGTTTTCGGTGGACTTGTGAGAATGCATTCGGTGATATAAAAAACGGTGAATTGGAGAGGGTGATTCATGTGAAGGAAGAAGTGCCAGTCAGCGTTCTCTAAAAATCCGTTTCTTTTTAGCGATCTCAGGTTTTACATGTGAATATGTGATCTACTTCCCGGTTGGATCTTGCAAACCATATGAGGGTAAATCCCTAGTAGGTTGTTCATAGACTTAAGGACTGTTTGGCAATTTCTGAATGAGTAAGTGCTGAACCAGTAAGAGGTCTGAACCATTAAGTGTTGAACCAGTAAGAGGTCTGGACCATTCAATTCAGATAAGAGGTCTTAACCATTCAGACTCTGTATAATACTTAACCATTCAGAGGCAAATTTCTTAACCATTCAGACATCTGAACCATTAAGAGGCTGAAACAAACAGTCTGAACCATTAAGTGCTGAACCATTCAGACATCTGAACCATTAAGAGGCTGAAACAAACAGCCCCTTAACATTATAAGGATTACTAAATGAGTTAGTTATTCTATTAATATGATTAGAATTATCTCATGTAATTATTATATATAGAGATATATATTTTTTACGGAGTAATATTCAATAAAATTAATTATTATCAAATTATATCATGATATCAGAGCTGATTTCTCTCAAAATCTAATCTTTTTTTCTGATCGTGCATCTGCCGCTGATCCTTCGATTGCCACATGCCGTCGACTGCCACATCTATGATGTTACCGTCTGATTCCCTAGCTGCTCTACCTTCTGGATTAAAACTTTTACATCGCAGTCTTCACAATTTAATCCTAAAAAAATTCTCTGGTATAAATTATCCAGCATGGTCTCTTAATGTGCGGACCACTCTTGCTACTAATCTCCTTCTTCGGTAGACCAATGGCTATGAAGAAGCACCGTAAAAACAATCTTCGGAGATGGAAAAATCAGTCTCAACCCCGAGTATACCCCATGGTCTATTGTCAATACTCAGATTTGTGTGTGTCTTCTTGCGGTTATTAGTCCGAGTATTCACAAACATGCTCGGGGCTTCAACACCAACCTTTACTTACATATTTCCTCTAACACCAACCTCACTTTCTTATACGGAGTACATAAGACAAAAGTTCATATAGCTAGTAACATACTCACTAGCCTCCTCTACCGTGCATGTGTTTTGGTGCACAATCTTATTTCTAGCTCTCCATATACTATACAAACAAGCTGCCCATATAGCAGTGATCTTCATTTTTGTTATTCTTCTTTTATCTTTCAGCATTGCATCCTCCATTTCCTCTAAGTTAGTGGCTTGAAACAGAGTATTGTCTCCGTCAAAAACTTGCTGATACACCCTCTGTGCGAAACTACACTTCCAAAATAGGTGATTGGCAGTTTCATTATCCTTCTCACATAAACCACATCTCATTTCCACAATTAGGTATCTCCCCAATTTGTCCTTTGTCTGTAGTTTCCCACGCATGTACAGCCAAATCATCACCTGGAATTTGGATAGAGTGAGTTTATTCCACACCCATTTCGTCCACTGGGGTCTAAGCCAGTCATATCCCTCATTCACCCTGTATTCTTTATTTGTAGGCATTGATCTAAACAACTCATTTATTCTTATCATGTCCTTCCAATACTGGCAGGAATCCTTACTTGGCATATAGTTCAAGAAATCAGCCCCTTTTATGTACCTATTATGGATCCATTTAACCCAAAGTACATCTTTTTTATCGGCAATGTCCCAATTCAACTTCATGATTATAACTCTATTCCAGTTATTGATATTTTTTAACCCTAAGCCTCCATAATTCCTCTTCTGACAAACATCTTCCCATTTCACCAAAGGAATCCTTTCATAGTTACTACAACTACCCCAAATAAAATTCTTACATATAGAAGTGACTTTCTTTATCCCTCCTTTTGGTAATATGAAGATTCTTGACTAGAAGGTAATGATCCCCATCAACACAAAATTTATGATTCTAATTCTAGCAGCATATAAGAAGTGTCTAGTACCCGAAGCTCCAATTTTGTTTGTAATCTTGAGTACCAAAGCCTTACAATCACTGGCTGTTAGCCTAGCTACAGTAATGGGACTTCCCAAGCAGGTATAAAGTAGAGTCCCATGTTTCATTTTGGTGATCTGCAATAATTCTTCCTTCTGTTGTTCTCTTATCCCCCCAAAGACTATATGAGATTTACTATAGTTAATATTAAATCTAGTTGAGAACTTAAACTCTTCAAGGACTATCATTATGCACTTAACAGACTTAGTCTTAGCCTTACACACTACAATTAAGTTTACTATCTTTAAGCTACCACACATAGAATAGGAACCAAATCTGTCCTTAAGAACTGCACCTTGGAAACTTCTAGTAAGGTATTCCATGACTAGCACAAACAACAAAGGTGACATAGGGTCTCCTTGCCGTAATCCTCTAAGGGTAGATACACAAAACATTACCCAACTAATGAATTGTTTTGGGAACTTAAGATTATACATAAAACCTCTTATTGCTTCCTTGCTTACTAAGTCATAAGCCTTTTGTATGTCATATTTCATCATACATCTTGAAATATTCTTTTCCTTTTATACCCTTTAGCAATCTCCTGGTATATTAATACATTGTGAACCGATTCTCTATCTTTAATGAAAGCTCCTTGGTTCAGGTCGATAACATAAGGCAGCACCTCCTTCAATCTTTGGGAAATTAATTTTGTTCGTAAGTATTATTAATGTTCAATGATTTCAAAGAATTTTAGCCTAAATTGCGTATGGTGAAACGAATAGGAGCAAGCAATATAAACAACTTTATAGAACCAAGTTAGGGGTTGAATTTTTTTTGTGGTGAGGTTGCAGCGCGACGAGCTAGCTAGTATAAAAAATGTTTGTCCTGAAAAGTTTTAGCCTTGAGACATAACTTTAATGGTCAATAGGTGTGCAAAAAGGCATTGTAATCAGATACAACTCCTATAAAGATAGTGTGAAGTATTTTAAATTTTGCATAAAAGTCTTTGTTGGGACTTAAATGAATACTAGCTAGTGCAGTACTAATATGTGAATACTTAAGGTGCACCATTATCAATGATACCTACTATGAGTTTAAATATTTAAATGATATTAGTATGTATTAGTATTCTAATAGTTGTGAGTTTCTTAGAAACGTACAAAAAAACCTTTTAACGATCTTGGTATTCGAATAATACTTAGTAGTAATTCAATATTAAAAGTTCGTTAGGCGCACCAAAGATTATAAATATTTTTTTGAATGCTAAATTGTTTAATTATTCAAAATTAAGTGTTATAATTTGAATAATAAGGATAACTATCATAACAACTAGTATTTCAAATCTCTAGGCCTATTTATCCAATCAATCATCCCAACAAAATATAAATGGATGATAATATTTTTATGACCCCAACGAACTATAAATCTGAGAGCATTTACAAGATAAATATTTCATACATTCTTCATATATAAGCAAGTTGTCATATTTGATCTTTTTTCTTCCTTAACTTAGTTTAATCATCCGTGCCTGAATCTTTGAAAAACTGTAATGAGGCCAAATTAACGTGCCATATATACACACACATACAAATATAGAAGAATCACTATTTACCCATCCACTATCAAAAGTAATAACTAAATATATATCCTTAACAATAATGTATGGCATATCAACATAAATCCTAGAGATTTTCCCTAACATATTAATATGCAATACCAATATGCAATCAGAGTGCGCTGCCACAATCGCTGATGACGCAATTGTTATTACCATTAACGTCAAAATTGCAGACGATTCAAGCCCAGAAGCGTCAGACCACCCGGTCGGGACTTGTAGCTGGACGCTTTGGCCAACTGACATTGCAAGGCCTCAGCCGCTGGGGGTAGCCCCGTTAATGGAATGATATCTTGGCCACACTGTGTAACTACCTGTCTTTTAAAGTTAGTTTATTTACAAATTGGTAAAAAAATAAAATGAAAACTTACACTGTCCGAAAATAGATAAAAATTCTATAAAACAAAATGTAATAAAAATATTTTATTTTATCAAATAATCAAGAATACGGAGTACTAAACAAACAATAGTTACCAGTGAATTTAATCCTCATCTTTTTGTGCTATGGGTGAATCAAAAGAGTTTCACATATTTCAAACAAAATTAGTTTTGTTTCAACAATCGCCGCAGGCCATCTTCTTCCTCTCGTCTGAGCTCTCCGATCTTCCTCTCCGTCATCTTCTTCCAACAATCGCACCATCTTCACCGCCGGAGTTCAGAGTTCAGACGAGACTCGAGAGACGACTTCAATAACCTCAGGGTCGGCAGTCAGCACCATCCCAGGTGATACGCCCAATCCCTTTCCCCTGATTTTATTTCCCTTTGATGTCTTTCAAAACTCATTTCACTTCTATTTTAATTTTATCCATATCTCAAAGGACTAATAATTTTGAATTTGTAGTCAGTTATACAAGCCAAAGTTTCTAGGGGTTTTTTGAAGAACCCACTGAACAATTCTAAGCCACTGAAATTTTTAGTCAGTTATACAAGATTTTATTTTGTTAATTGAAGAATTCTAACTTCCTCTATATTCTTTTTGGGTTTTTTGTTTGTTTGTGTGCAGTTTATATAGAATGAAACGAATGGAAAATCTTATGTGTTTGGACTCTGGATTATGAACTCCTTTGTATTTTGTACTACATTTTTTCACCAGAATTGAAATTTGGAATCAGATTTTTTTTTGGCTTGGATTCGGTCTGGACAGGTTCGGTCCATACGATTTTGGTCCTGTCCAAAACCGAATACAATTAGGTTCGGTCTTTGGTCTATATTTTGGTTTAGTTCGGTCTTTGGTCCGATTTTAGATTGATTAACACCCCTACGGATATGTTAGTATATATGGACATTATGGATATCAAATATTAATGGGGAAACAGGATGGATCTTGGAAGCAATGGTAACTTAGAATTGCATTGATGACACATAAGGTGCCTTAGGACAATGATTGTAAAAAGACCTTATGATAACAAGGTCTTTAAATTGACAAAACATTTATGGAATTGCAGACCTATGTTGAGTACCTTAGGGCATTCTGGACATGTAAAGAAGGTTTTCCAGACTGGAATATAATTTCTAGACCTAAGGTGCCCAATAGTACATTTTTGATAAGCTAAAGTACTAAATATCTGATTGCGTTGATACAACGAGTACATATTTCAATATTTTGATGTATTAACATGATGAATAATGCATTTATATGTAAAACTACGATGATGAAGCCTTAATGGGCAAAGGACTGAAGATAAAATGCTTTTGTAATGTCTGGCTAGGTGTAAAAAGTGTACGTGAAGGAAGTACTGCTAAACACTGAATTGCAGAACTTTCAGATGCATGGCGTGAGTCGCCGGCTGCATTGTGCTGTTAAGGCAGGTCATCACACCTTATTTCTGTCCATGATGTTAAACGCATCGCCGCCTCTGTGCAAATCCCTAATTTCTCACTCCGTCCTTTTCTCTTCAGACAGCTCAGTTCACGGTTCAAGTTCGCCTTTTTCTGATGTAAAGTTTGATTTTATAGAACAGTTTTCCCCCGTGCCGAACACAGGAGGTTATAATGTGATTACTTTGAATGAGAGGCGTATAATCCTTGTAGGGCTGTCGAAAATGATAAAAACAGAAAATGCTGATTATTTGAATGCATTTTCCAACCAGTTTTGCCCACATTGTGTTGTAGAAATAATGAAATCATTCCATGACCGCAAAGTTGCACTTGCTCTCTTCAAATATGTGTTTCAAGATTATTCAGAGCGAATGGTGCAATCAGGTTGCATAGCTGCCCTTTTGCTGGATGCGATGAAACTGAGATTAATGTCACAAGACATGCTTTCATGGATTATTAAAAGGATTGGAGAATGCAGAGGAGATGAAGTCGTGGAGTTCATGTGCAGAGAATATTATTTTTATGCCTCAAATTATTTTTCGGTACTTGATTCATTGATGCGAGCTTTTTTGTGTTCTGAAATGATTTCTGGAGCTTTGAAGGTTTTGTGTATTATGAGGGAGGCTAAAATGCAGCCAAGTTTGTCAGCAGTAAGTATTCTATTTAAATTGTTGTTTAGGTTTGATCATCATCGCAGTGTGTGGATGTTATTTCGTGATATGCTTCACAAAGGTCCTTGTCCTAATACCTATGTATATAACGTGATGATCCTTGGGTTTTGTAAAAGAGGGTACCTTCAAGTTGGAGAGAGTCTGTTACATTTAATGAGAAAGTTTGGGTGTGAACAAGACACAATAACATACAACATTTTGATTAATGCATATTGTATGAAGGGTTGGACATCAGATGCATTGAATTGGGTGCATGTGATGATTGAACATGGGTGTAAGCCTAATGACATTACTTTCGGTACCATCATCAATGCATTGTGTAAAGAGGGAAGCATTGCCGAAGCAAGGAGGATCTTTGATGAAATGCAAGAATTTGGTGTTTATGCAAGCACCGAAACATATAACATTTTGATGGATGGTTATGTTAAAGCAAGGGAAGTTGATAAAGCCGATTCCCTTTATAAGGAAATGATAAAGAATGGAATTTCTCCAGATGGTATAACTTTCAATGTCTTGGTGGCAGGTTACTACAAGTATGGGAGGGAAGAGAACACAGACAAATTGTTAAGAGATTTAATTACAAGGGAAGTAATTCCAGATTGTTCGTTGACTGATGTGACCATTGCAGGATTGTGTTGGGCCGAAAGGTTGGATGAGGCCGTAGAGCTGTTGCATAATATTCTTGAGATGGGGATACCTCTTAGTGTAATTTCTTTTAATTCCATAATTGCTGCGTATAGCAAATTGGGGTTAGGAGAAAATGCATTTGGTATTTATAATATTATGGTAAAGTTTGGTCAGAATCCTTCGGCCTCCACATGTGCCTCTCTACTTATGTGCTTGTGCACAACAGGGAGTCTTCACGAAGCTAAGGAACTGATGAGTAAGATGATTTCAATGAACTTCCCTATCAACAGAGTCTCTTTTACTTTGCTTTTAGATGGGTATTTCAAGAAGGGAGACACAGATAGTGCCCTTTTTTTGTGGGAAGAAATGGGAAGGATAGGGATGACTCCTGATGTTGTTGCTTTTTCTGCGTTTATAGACGGACTATGTAAAACCGGATTTGTTGGAGAAGCTTATGAGAAGTTCCTAGAAATGAAAAGGAAGGAGCTTGTGCCCAATAATTTTGTATATAACTCTCTAATTGCTGCTTTTTGTAAGAGTGGAGGACTGAATGAAGCTTTGATGTTGGAGAAGGAGATGAGAGAGAAGGGCCTTTTCCCGGATGTGTTTACAATTAACATAATTCTTAAAGGGTTATGCATGCAGGGAAGGATGCAGTCAGCTATAGATACTTACATCAAGATGCAACAGAGTGGAGTAAAACCTGACACTGTTACTTACAACACTTTGATTAATGGATTCATTAAAGCATTTGACATGGCTAGTGTGGATAACTTGGTGAGTAAAATGTTTGCTACGGGATGGGAACCAGATATTACTACCTATAATATAAGGCTTCATGGTTTTTGTACTAGTAAGAAGATAAATCGGGCGGTTATGATGCTGAATGAACTTGTCTCAGCAGGAATAGTTCCAAATACAGTTACATACAACATTTTGATGAATGGTGCTTGTAATGATGTACTAGACCGTGCTATGATTTTGGCTGCAAAGTTGCTAAAGATGGCATTTATCCCTAATACTGTCACAGCTAACTTACTACTGTCACAGCTTTGCAAGCAAGGGCTACCAGAGAGGGCTGTGATGTGGGGCCATAAGTTGAGCCAGATTGGCATCGAGTTTGACGAGATAACATATACAATATTGGACAGAGCATCAACTTCTTATGATAAAACAAGACAATACGCTGATTATTCTAAAGGAATGACAGAAAAGAGTATATTTGTAGATATTCTTATGTACATAACCTGTGACTATTTGGGTAGAATGAGGGCCCATTCTGATAGCACTCATTATTCTGTTGAATTTGTTCATGGACCAGATGGGTCCTTGGAGCTGGTGAACAGGGTAAGTTTGTAATAGTGTCAAAGTTCTGAGAATCAAAGGTGGGCAACTTTTTTGAGATCCAACCAAAATATATTCTTGGTTCAAAAGGAAAAAAGGGGTCATACCCTTTGAGAAGGATGGTGCACCCTGCCGCAAGCTATATACTAGTGCCAACAACAAATGGTGGGAGGTATTTGCTATAACATTTGGTTGTAATATTGGCTTTGTCTGCTAATAATACTCCATCCGTTCCAAAATTAACTTCAAACTTTGACTTCTCGTCATACATATATGGAATAAGCACACATTGTGCCTTAATTTTTTTTTGGTTTTTCTCATTTGGTTAATCTTATACCTCATCCTGTAAATGAAATGTGTTTTTACTATTTCTTTTAGAAAATTTCATTGCCATAAAATAATCATTGCATGCATTTTTTTGGCTTTCCATTTATAGTAATTCCATTGTGTTAGTAGATCTGTGGCTTCATGAGTCCATATTAGAATTTTTTACAGACAGATATTTTTAAAGAGACACATCAGGGTCTCTTGGAAAATAATTGTTTCTCCTGCTCATGTTGATTTTTTTTATTTAATGTAGGTACTAGTGGGCTGCATTGTGTCATTATCTGATTTTCTGCTAGGCCCTATTGGTAAGATGTATAGGTTAAACTTGTTAGGATGTGAGATATAAATATTGGAAATCAAATTTCTATTTCCCCTACCCCCCCACACACACACACAAACTAATGAACATACTCATACCCAAACATTTTCATTTGGGCAAAGTAAGACTCTCTCCATACTGCAGATTTGCACTAATTGCAACTCCACCCCATTCACAAAGTCTACCTCATCCACAAGGTCTTAGTCATCCGAAGAAAGTAATTTGAGCCATAATCTCAATGTGATAAATAAAGAGTGTGATCTGTGTCTGGTATGTGCAAGGGTTCTTTGCCACACATGATTTTCTTTTATAGCCGTTTTTAAAGTTGAACATGAGTATCATCACATTCTTGGTCATCTAAACAACCTCATGCAGTTTATGTTATGGATGGAGTATAAGGAAAAAAATTTACTCCGCACTACCCTTATTTAACACTCCATTTGTCCTGCTCTAAATTTCCATCTTTAATTTTCCAGCCAAATGTGTTAGAAAGTGAATATAACTTTTGTTGAATATATTTCCATCTTTGATATTTCCACATAATTTTCCAATAAACATGTTAAATTAATAAAAAGTAAACGGAGAATGGTTATTATTGCTACTTATGCAGCGTGTTGGTATGTAGTTTGGAAGGCCCTGAGTGGATCTTTGCCAAACCAAGCTCCCGATTATTTCTGACATGGAGTTATACTTCGAGCCAGGGAAGATAAAGAATGACTTGAGTTTCACCAGATCTTCAGAGGGAGCTTGACGGCGTGGCATGATATGGGTAAGTGCAGTGCTCTAAATAGTGTCTTGTGTAAGTGGGGTTTGGGACTTTGGGTGGGTCATGTGACCTTGAGGTCACAGGTTCAAGTCCCGGAAACAACCCTCTTGTAAAAATGCAAGGTACTATTTGCCCTAAAGCACACCCTCATGGTTTGACTCTTCTTCAGGTCAGTGCAAATGTGCATCATGCTGCTTTTTATATAGGTAGCCGTGGAAAGCCCTTTCGCACCAGGCAGAGGCAAGTCTAAAAATATGTTTTACAAAGAGGTGAAGTCCAATCACTGCTCTACAACTACACTCTGCCTTCTATAATCTAGCATTGAAAATCATAAATTGATGTGAATAATGTCTTCCAGGAATTGAAACTACTTGCCCTAATTGACGAGCTCTTGCTGAAAACATCTAAGATCCCGGGTTGCATACCACTGAACGTTCGAATGCAAAGAATCAGCAAACCTAAGATCCAATGACACCGCCAGGCATGTAGCATGGAAACAACTTTTCTTGAAATCTTGAATTAAATTTCAAATTTTCTTATGCTCTATAAAAAGCATGAATTATAATGTGGGTAAAACTTAGTTTGATTATGAGCATTAGATTATTCATGTAATTTGATGTTTGGAATTATATCAGATACAGTAAATTCCCTCCGGAGCGAGTTTTCTTCTACAATCTAAATTGTCTCACATGCTTTTGCTCCTTTAAGACCGACCCTTGGCCAAACCTTTAGAGTCCTACCACAACGAATACATCCTATCGAGTAAAATGCCCGGAGTGGGGTCTTGGGGTGGGGGAGAGATTGTACGCGAACCTTACCTCTACCTAAAGAGATTGTTTCTAAAAGACCCCGATTCGAGCACAAAAGACACAAGTTTGTAGAGTTCAACTAGTAAAAAGACAAACCAATAAGAGAGGAAAACATAATTACCACTCAAAAAAGGGCACCAAGCAAACACCCCACAAATCCACAATGCCTAAGTAACTATCCCTAAAGGCCCTAAACAGACAAACAATTACCCGTTGAGAGGAAAACTACATTTTGTTTTCCTCTCTTATTGGTTTGTGTTTCCTCTCTTACACATTATTTAAGTTTGTAGAGTTCAACTAGTAAATTATAGATAAACCAATAAGAGAGGAAAACACAATTACCAATACAAATGTAGTAAAAATAGTGAATAAGTAGTATTAAAGAGAATATGAAAAGATTTGTTTTGCTGTAAATATTTTTATTTTAAAGATTTTATTTTTATTTTACTCCAATATCTGAAAGACCTTGTTTCGATTGGTAAATTCTTCTTCCTACCACTGGAACCTCCAAAATATATTTTTTTTCTCCATCGTTCCGAATTAAAATTTTCATTTGTTTTTTACGAAACTTAAGAAAAAGTGAAATTATAATGTTAAAATTTGTGATAATGTGAACTTTTGACCACTTTCATTAAAAGGTATGAAAAATATATTTTAGAATAAATAAAATACTTCCTCTTTCATTTTTTCTAATTCCAATAAAACACTTCCATTTTTTGTTAGAAAACCACTTTTACCCTTACTTTTTCATACCCTACCTATCACATCATACTTTTTTTTAATAATCTATCCATCACATTTTATTTTTACTCATCACATCATGAACAAAATTGGAAGTCAACTACAATTTAACACTTTCTTATTTTTACAGTTTATCAAAGTATGAACTCTTTTTTAGAAAGAGTACTATACATCTACGAGCAGGACAAGTACAAAACGTTACACACAACTCTACGCATACACAAGACAAATGAAGACAAGACAAACTATATTCATGCAGATCCCATCCCAATAAATAAATGGTTATTTATATTTTATACACACACTAAAAAACCATAAGTATATGTATGCAGTGTTATGCATGTGTGTATGTTTTATGATACATATTGTAATTCCAATTAATCTGTTGCCCTATAAAGTGCCACAATTTAATTTCTTATAAAAAAAGCTTATAATGTACTTGGTCCGTCCCTGAGTGTTTGTCCACTTTTGACTTTTGTAACTGTTCATCTAAGCACTTTGACTCATCAAATTCTCTCAATGCGTAAGCCTAAAAATAGTCATGTGTGATCTTGTTTGATTCGTCTTAACATATAAATTATTAATATATAATTTTTATAATTTTTTAATATACAAATTACAAGATAAAATGGATTAAAGAAGTGCATTGGATGGTGTGCAAAAATGAAAGTGGACAAACACTCAGGGACAGAGGGAGTACATTCGATTAAATACATGCTGTCAAACTTTATTGTCATCTCTAGTGTTAAAATAGATTTACCATATGATAGAGTGTATCTCAAAATTGGAATGATGTTTATCCCAAAACATAGATCATGTTTATTGCATTGTGATAATATGATATTATATTGTAGCATTTCACAATATTTTTATATATATTATATATTTGTCATTTTGCGAATAAAAACATAAAGACCTTATTTGGTTCTTTTCATATGTTTTACTATTATTTTAGTCTTCTTCCCTAATTGTTATCCATTCATGCTTGAGAGACACAAAGATGTGATTCTTGGCATCATTCTTGATGTCATTGTAACGTACTCGGTAACCCTTAAAATTTCAAATTTTTGAATACCCTTAAAACTTATGCGTAGTCACTTAGTGAGACAATAAAGCGTGCAAAAGAGGTAATGTCGGAGTCAACTTTTGGCAACAAAGATAAAGAACGACGATGCATAGCATGAAATTCTTGCACGTATTAGGGATAAATTCCACTTTCTATTGATCAGTATATGATTAAAGCTCAATCTATTTTTTTTGCTTCAAGACTACTGTCCGACTCCGTTCTGAAAGACCCTATGATAGTTTATACTTGCAAAAACTGATGTTAGAGACCTATTGTTATCATCATAACAATATAACATCTATGTTTGTCTGGTTTGAAAATTATAGATGTTATATTGTTATGATAATAACAATAATAAGCATCTATAATTTTCAAACCAGACAAGTATACTGAAGCAAATGAAGTTAGGTTCAATAATAATTGATATTGCACGTGGTAAGGAAAATGGAATTGGTGGATAAATATGAGTGTAGGACTTTTTTGAAGTGTAACTTTATAGTAGGCCTAGGTTGCCGGCCCATGAGTACCTAAAGAAAGATACCGGCGTACCACTTTTCTCTCATAAATCTTTGATCTTTATAGTCGCCATAGTGGCGTAGCTCATCGGTTGATATATGGGTACTATTCGGGTGAGATTCCGAGTTTGGAGTATAGTGGTTGGGATGAGAGGCAACTATACAAAGCATGAGACTTTTGCAAGTATTAGGCAAGACGAATGGTTAAACAAACTAGCGCCAAGAAGGTGAGTTTTCCTCGTCTGTTTTCTCTCGTTCGACGCACAGTAAACGGTTTTCCCTGAGTTCGATTCGTGGTTGTGTAAGAGTATGATGATCCGGTCGCCGAGGACGTGTTGGACAAGGAAGATTACGTTGTTGTTGATTTTGAAGACGACGAGGAAGATGAATTCCGAGATGATACTGGTTTGTATCCTCATTTGTAATTATGCGATAAGAGACAACTATACAAAGCATAAGACTTTTGGCACGGAACCTCACTCTTACGCCAACTCACTGAGATTATAGCTCAATTTACGTTTTCACGGCTAACTGTCCGACCAGTGTTAAAGGGTCTTCGGGATGGGTGTCATCCTTTTTTAACTTTATAGCCAAGAGGGAGAGTAAGTGCAAAGTGAAGGAAAAACTATATAGAACTCATGCATATTAAAGAACTAATTTAATGAAAAAGTTTAAATTTATGGTTGTACCATACACCAAAAGAAAGATTTTATACTCAACAATTAGTTATTTTGTACTCCACAATTCCACATAAATATTCTTTTACGTCTTTGGGTGAGAAAAATTAGTATATATACACACACCAAGATTCTTTATGTCTTTTTGGGGTGTGAAAAATAGATAGTTACAAAGTATATTCTTATATTCACTGTTGTCACTGGTAACGATCCGTTCCAATGATACATTCACAAAATTAGTGGTTCTTACCGCATTGGCCCTTTTCATCCCCCAGTAAATCCGGTAAATCCCCACTCCACTCCAACCCGAACCCACCCCTATTCCCGTCAATTGGACCCTCCAACTTGGAGTCAAATTTTTTACCCCAAAGTTAACTTAATTTGGGGGGTCCAATTCACAGGGTGGGGGGTTAGGTTAGGTCGGTGTGGGGGTTTACCAAGAGTTAGAGAAGACACGTACCGTCAGTTTTTTAAAACGGATCACGTAGTACATTTGGATCCAGAGTTGGAAAATAGTCGGTCACACTAAGTTTGAGTTCGGTTGTTTCGAGTTTGAATTACTTCACGTAGTACAATCGTACGTCAGACTTCTTTTTTCTTCTTTAACGTCAGCAGCTACCAGCGCACGTCAAACTTCTCTATTCTTCTTCGGCGTGAGCTACTACCAGCACACAACGACGACTTCTCTCTTCTTCTTCTTCGACATCATCAGCTACCAGCACACGTCAGACTTCTCTCTTCTAATGGTTTCCAATTCTTGGCTAGGGTCCAAACTTACTCTTGCTTCAGTTAGACTTAATTTGAGGGGAATGTTAGACACTAATATTAAGTATTCGTATTTATGATAGAAGTAGTATTTGAGTTAACTTTTCTTTGCAAAATAGCCACCCATTTGGAGGGGTAAATGGGAGGGTCTAGGGTGGGAGTGTGGTGGGGGTTTAGAGAGGAGGTTAGGGGGTAGGAACTATAAATTTTGTAAACGGGACACCAGAGGAACTTCAAATTAGCTAGTGTCATTCGTTGACACTGGATGCTACCAGTGTCAACGGAACCTTGCCGTGTACACACACATGTGTGTCTATGCGTGTGTGTGTGTGTGTGTGTGTGTGTGTGTATATATATATATATATATATATATAATAGTTTTGGATTTATTTAAGTAACTTGGAGTGGTTATTACATAGTGGGGGTAAATGCACCACAGCCCCCTATGGTTTAAAAAAGGAGCTCCAACACCCCTCGTGGTTTTAAAAGTAACTTATAATATACATATGGTTTGTAAAGGGTGCACATGCACCCCCCATCTGGAAGTAACTTATACTATTTTTTTAAAATCAATTTTTTTCTTAATTTCTCAACTTTGTTCCTCTATTATTTTTTTTAAATCAATTTTTTTCTTTATTTCTCATAATTGAATAACAAAAAAAATTTATAGAAACCAGCAAATTAATTACATATAATGAAACAAACAATCTAATAATGATAAAATTCATAAATAAAATAATTATTTATTGACTTTAAACTACCGACTACGAAATCCGAATAACATGGACTACCGACCATTGCAACGTCACAATGAACAATAGCTATATCATGGATTTCAATTATGTCTAAGTTTATGTTTTATGAATTTCACAAAATAAATTAGTTATGACATGTGTTTTGTAACCTTATTTTTATGAATGAATAAATTATATGTACTCTATCAATAAATTTGTTGTGATTTACTTCTTATTTTAATTTCGGTGTATGGTGCATTATTTAAAGTCAATAAATAATTATTTTATTTATGAATTTTATCATTATTAGATTATTTGTTTCATTATATGTAATTAATTTGCTGGTTTCTATAAATTTTTTTTGTTATTCAATTATGAGAAATAAAGAAAAAAATTGATTTAAAAAAAATAATAGAGGAACAAAGTTGAGAAATTAAGAAAAAAAATTGATTTAAAAAAATAGTATAAGTTACTTTCAGATGGGGTGCATGTGCACTCTTTACAAACCAGAGGTATATTATAAGTTACTTTTAAAACCACAAGAAGTGTTGGAGCTCCTTTTTGAAACCATAGGGGGCTGTGGTGCATTTCCCCCTTACATAGTGCTAGGACGGGCACATATATATATATATAGTGTATATATATAATGACTGGATCCCATTCCTTCCCCACCGTACTTGGGGCGGCATGGCATGGCCCGAACTGCTATACTTTAAAAGTCGTTTTCCCATTGTTGCTTCTGCTTCATCTTCTCTTGTCTCTCTTTTACTTTTGCTAACTTTCACTCATTAGCCCCATTCATTGCCCACACCCTACCCAAAGCCTAGCTTCTTTTTAGGGCTCTTCTCTTACAATTATTCACACACTCCATATATCTATCCATATTCCTTGCACCCTGAAATAAATTATAATTTCTCATTTATGAGGTAAAATTATACTCTTTCCGTCCCTAATTTGATTACAAATTGGGATTTACGAGAAGAAATATCTCACTTTTTTAAATCATTTTATTTACAAATAAGTATATCGATAAGAAATAAAGATTTCTTATTAAAAAACTACTTCAAAAGTCCTACTAAACAAGACGTGACAAGAATATTTTATTTTATCAAATACTTAATGAAATCGCGTAAACAAACAAAAGTTATCGAGAGGAGAAAAAAATATAATCGAATTGAGGACGTAGGGAGTATATTCATTAAAATTAATTTATTTAAAAACTAGAATAAGAAGAATTAATTAACATATAGTAAGACTTAAGATTAAATTTATCGAGAGATAAGTCTAAAAGAAATTGTAATCCATTTGTAGGCGGAGGGAGTATGTACGTGATTCATATACTCCGTGTATTGTTTTTTTACATATTTCCAAAAAATATATACTCCATCCGTCCCAAAAAGATGTTCATGCATCCCACGAAACACTTCTATCCACATCCAAAATGATTAAAGTTTACCACATTTCTCCTTCATTGTATGTAGAAGTTATTATGAAATGCGTAAAAAATGAAACAAGAGCATCTTTAGGAACCCATGATATATATATATATATATATATATATATATATATATATATATATATATATATATATATATATATATATATATATATATATATATATATATATATATATATATATATATATATATATATATATATATATATATATATATATCATGGGTTCCTATTTAATCTTTAGTCTTTCTAGCTAGCTAGCTCATAGTGGTATCGTAGTAAATAGTGTAACAGTGCAAGAAAAAAAGAAGTATCATATCAAAACCTCTCTCTCTCTCTGAAATCCCATTATTCATTCGAAGTGGAAAGCACTAACAGCAAGCTAGCTACATAAGGTACTTGTTTCTAGCTCAATCTTTTTTATTACTTCATTTTTTTTGTTTATTTAAATGTTAATGACACTGAAGAATTTCATGATATATGTGCATGGATTTCTTCACAATCAAACTTTTATTAAAACTATTAATAACTCCTAGGGTATATAGTTTGAATAAGGTATGTCTATGACTCTATGTTGTATGATTATGGGATAGTTAATTTTTATTTATAGGTGTGATAATTTTGGATATTAAAACAAATTTATTTTATTTATTACTCCGTATATATTTTCAAAGTACTACTCCTTATCAGTTTAATTTTGATTTTGTTTTAAGAGTTTTTCTTTAAGAAAATCAAATACACGTACCATAATAGTAATCAAAGATGATCTAATTTAATTTCCCTATGAAAAATAGAGACAATTAAACTAGAGAGATTAAACTATGAAGATAGATGATCTATTTTGATTTCCCTATGAAAATTAGAAAAAAAGAAAGAAAAACTTGTTACAAAATAAAACATATACGGAGTATTTACTATTTACATATTTGAACTATATATTTTGTGTGTGTGTGTGTGTGTCTATATATATATATATATATATATATATATATATATATATATATATATATATATATATATATATATATATATATATTCATCAAATAATATAGTAATGTCACTAGTTGTTTTGCATCACTTTTGGTATAATTTTTAAATATATATTCTATTTATTTAAAATAGTTTTAAAATAAATTCAATCGAGAATAAATTCAGCCTACTAATATAATTTGAACTTTAGCGTTTTTGCATATAAACTTTCACTTTTCAATTATTTAAAATTTGATAAATTCCAAATTATTCATTTTTATAAAACCAAGATGTCACTTAATTGACAAGTCTCGTGATGTGTTTCAAATATAATTTTTCAATCCCAAATTAATATTCAGAGTGATACGATATCTTCTTTAATTTGTTTACATATTTTTATATCCTATAAAAAAAGGAAATAGTTCCGTCGATGTTTGTTTTATAAAATTTTAATTTTGATGTCTTTTTAAATATTTTAAATATATGTTCCAGAACTTTTACTCCCTCCGTCCCAAAAAGATATTCATGTTTCATTTTTTACGCATTTCGTAAAACACTTCTCTCCTGTCTCGAATACCAAAAAAACTTTCAAAACAAATTCTACACACAATAAAGAAGAAATGTGGTAAATTTTAGGTATTTTAGATGTGGGTAGAATTATTTTATGGGACGCGCAAAAAATAAAACATGAACTGTCTTTTTGGGACGGGGGGAGTATTTTTTTATTTTACATCGATTTTAAAAATATGAAATTGAAATGAGAACTATTTATTTCACATTTTGAGTACAAAATTTAGAAAAATTCTTACAGTTCTGCAAATCTATAAAAAAAATGAATTTTATTTCAATAAACTTTTGACTAGTAATCTGGTATGGAAAACTCTAGAGGTACCTTTACAAAAAATGTATGTGGGATCAGCTTTTTTGGTGATTGTACGTAAATCATTTCACATTATGTGTATGTAAAATGTTCCATCACCATATTGGGTTTCCCCTTTTACATTTCTATATAAAAAAATTAAAATTATTTAAAATTGAAAATAATAGTAATTGTTTTATTATTGTTATTAAGAGAAAGAAAACAGAAAAAATCCAAAAGGCCATAAGGTTGTTTCCCCATTTTGCATGAATTGTTGCCGTACAAAGTTGGAGTATGCATCTTGTGAATATTTTCCCAAACTTTGATGGAGTATATTCTTCCATAAAAATCTTCCTAGTTTGACTTTTTTTTTGAATTTCATAAATAAAATTATCCTAAATAAGAGAAAAATATAAAAAAAAGTATCAAAATAGAAATTTACAATGTAATAATGTGGCACTGTATGTGAACATTTAACAATACTTTTTAGTACTCCCTCCGTCCCGCAAATTTTTAAAAGATTTAAGAGAGTGTATGTGAGTCTCTAAAAGAGTAATTTACTGAAATAGGATTAAAACATAATGATTTTCCCAATATAGGATTATATGTTTTTATTTTTCAATGGAGGACTTCTGGTCATTATGAATTGGTTATTATTCAAGTAAATGTCCATCATTACTGGACATTATTCCTCCCACTAAGACATTAATAAGTCCTATTTAGGGAATAAAAAAGTTTAAGTCCTATATTAGGAAAGTCATTATGTTTTAATCCTATTTAGTGCAAATTTCATCTTTCTTCTAAAAATGCATTTGGATAAGATCGGTAAAGGTAAGATGTGATGAATAGATTAATACTCTCCTCGTCCCCCAAAAGAATGTCACATTTTCTTTTTCAACAGTCGCGAGAACTGTTGTTTATTCTTAAGTTAGCAATTCAAGCATTCGATAGCATATCAAGAAGCCAACTCAACCACAAAATTTGTGTTTGAGTTTATTTCTTGACGACGCTAAGTCATCCTCTCCGACAATGACCAATCCAGCACTCGTTTTCCATTTTTAGGGATCCATCGGTGAACGGTTATAGCGGTGGCGGGTACCGACACCCGGCAAAGAAGGGTTGTTGCGGTGGTGGCAAATTGAATCTCGTTGCTCTAGTTTTCGCCACCGTACCCCACTTATAACGTAAGCAGAGTACTCGCTTCATTCCCTTTTAATTGCCTATTATGACTTTCTTAATGCACATCATTATTTTCTTATTTTATAAATCTTTTATGTAGCTCTTAAATATGTAAATTTATTTCCACTTCAATACCATTTTTAAATATATTCAATTGAAAATAGCTAAAATACAAAATAACAAATTGAAACGGGAATTTTGTTGGAAAATTCTTTTGTAGACCTTACATCGAACTAAGAATTCAGGGACGACCATCTTTATAGTAAACATTTTCATTATTTTTAAAAATAATGTATTTAATTTAATTTTTTATAAATATGTTCGCGTGAGAAAATTTAGTTATTGTTGTATGGACGTAAAATTCATGATAAAAGTACTCAATTTTAGAATCATTAGATAAATTTTGAAATTTACGTTTTTAGTATGATATTTATGATATCCCATTATGTAAATATATTTATTAACCATTAAAGTATTGCATTGAATATCCAAGAGTCAAATCCTTTATATATATAAATGAGACTCCAAGCTCTAAGAAGATGACATGTGGCATTGCTAGGAGCTGACATGTAGCAATACTAAGAGCGGACATGTGTCAATACTTATGTGGCTTTTTTATGCAACCCAATTTATGAACTGAATAAAAAGAAAAGAAAATTATTTTTATGTAGCCATTTCTAACACCTAATATGTCACATAATTTTTCATATGGAAAATATAAATTAAAAGTTTGGTAAGAAATATTTGATTAAATATAAATATGGGGAAAAAAAATTCCTTTTTATAAGAATATTCTTTCTAAATTCTATATTTTTCTCTTTATTTATAACAAATTTTTAGAATAAAATATAAAATAATAAATTTTATAACTATTTAATATACCTTTACTTGAAATTAGTTTTTTTATTAAAATTATGTAAATATTGACACCTACTAAATAAATTGCTTTCTACACCAATAAATAACTTTAATATTAATTTTGACAGCTAATAGGCTAATATTCCACTTAATTAAAAATATAAAGAAATGTGAAATCAATATTTTGGTATGAAATCTTTGAATAAATTTAAGTATGCAAATGAAACATTCATTTTAATGATAATATCCTTTCCCAATTTAAAAATTTTTACTCTCTTCTTTTATAATACAATTTTCAACCAATAGATATGATGATTTTTAACCTCTAAATCAATTTGATATAAGTTTTTGTTTATGATATGTTAAAATGAAGTTAGTTTTGATTTGATTCATTGAAATATTGATGTAAAATTTAAAACACACCATATATTTTAAAATTTACATCAAAAAATATATAGAATAAGAGATGACTAAGCTATAATTATATTACAATAGAAGAAATACTATGCGTAATTTCATAGTTCGATTATATTGATTTTATGATTTGACTTTATTATATAAAATTTATAGTTTATAGTCCTTAGACTATTTATGATTTAAATTGAAAAATATAATATTCTTAGTCATCTCTTATGAATTATGATGTGATATTTTTAATAAAATTATAGTTAACAAATGATATAAAAAAATGTGTTACCAAGACATACTATGTATACACTAACATTCTTTATGATTTCAATATAAAACTACCAATGAATAAATGAGATTTCCTTCCTTTAAAATAGATACTTTCATAACATCTAAAAAAATCATATTTTTATGACACACTGAAATGAATATAGTTTTGATTTTATTTTTTAAATTTTGATATAAAATAAAATTTTAAAAAAATATATTTTGATCCCTGCATTAAACTACTACAAACGACTAGAAGAATCATATTCTTTGAATCATAACTAATGCAAGGAGAATAATAATAGAATCATCAATATATTTCTTAATTAAACTGTGGAGAGAAAAATAATATTTTTTAATCAATATGAGGAAGGAGAATAATATTAATGCGGGGAGATGAATCAATTTTAGTCGATAATCTAAACTAATATGGGGAGAATCATTTTTTTGCCCATCAATGATGGTTGTATAATGGCTACATCAAGATTGATGTGGATTCTTAAACGGGATTGGTGGATAGAGTGTCGGGGTTCATTTTATTGCTTGAAATTATCAAGGGGTTTTAATGGTAGATGATGTTTCAGACCTAGAGAAGTGAAGGTAATTTATGTAAATGAGGCTTGAACCTTTATCAAGGACAAAGATTGGAGGCATATCTTTGTGGAAATAGATTGCAACGAAGCGTTTGATGCTCTTAATAATTCCACCAATATTATTATTTAGTGAGAGAGAGTAAAAGTCGGGTTGAAAGTATACCTTAATTTTTCAAAATGTTCTAATTTAAATAAGAGTCTGACATGTTAATTTTCAAATATATATAGTATAGTTTTCATTAGCAAATATTACATTTTCTTTGTTCCACAAAACTTTTCTTCTTTCTTTTTTCATCCGTCCCAAAATAAACCTTTCTCATTACTATTAAAAACTCACTTTTATCCTTACCAATTCTTAATTTGCATATCACATCATATTTTTCACTACTAATCTACCATCACAGCTTACTTTTACACATCTTATCGAAGGACATTTTGAAAGATCCGCATCAAAATAAATCATTTAAAAGTCAAAACGAGAAAATTTTTGTGAGATAGAGGAAGTAAATTTTATCATTATTCTAACTTTTAATGTTGATGTTTTATTTGGTACATACGATTTTTAAAAAATGTTGTAGCAAAGAAAAATTAAAAATTCGTTCCACCCGTGCATGGCACGGGTTAAAAGACTAGTGGACAAAAAAATTGAAAGTAGGGAGTGGATGGTAGTAATTTACTACTCCCTCCGTCACAAAATATTTGTCACACTTGCTTTTTCAGCAGTCACAAGAACTTTTGTTTATTTCTACGTTTTCATTGGTTATTTGATAAAATAAAATATTCTTGACACCTCTTATTTCGAAGAACTTTTTAATTAATTTTTTTATATGCAAATTTTATTTTTTATTTATATACTAATATGTGAATAAAATGAATTGAAAAAATTTAATATTTTACTTCAAAAATACAAGTGAAACAAATATTTAGGGATTACTTTTTGGGGCCCGTATATGAAGGACCAAATGTGTTCTTTTAACTTTTAAGGTTAATGAAGTCTTGAATGGGAGTACCTATTTTAACTTGGGTGAATAATTTTTCACGTATTTTAGTATTTTGTGGAGTTAAAAATATTCCCTTCATTGTATTATTAATTGTTTTATAAGATATTTTTTGTATATTGAAAAATGAATGAATGTAGATATAAAATCTATCTCCATTCATTCATATTTTAAAGTATTAAGAATGTCTTATTAATCAGTTAATTAATACTCCCTCCATTTCAAAAAATCATCCCCATTTTGGCTTTGGGCAAAAATAAGGAAAGTGTAATTTTGGTTGACTTTCCAATTTGCCCCTGATGTGATGGGAAAAGTAAGATGTGATAGTTTGGTTATTAGTGAAAAAGTATGATGTGATAGATAGGGTATGAAAAAGTAAGAGTAAAAGTGATTTTTAATTAGATTTCTTTGACTCGATCCTTTGTCTGATGAGTATGTTTATTTGTCGAATTTGACTTTTCGTAGTTAAAGTAGACCAAAATTAATACGGAGTAATTAATTAAATCAAAATTTCATTACATATTACTACCAAAAATGGTTTAGTTAAATTTATTTTCTAAAATATTACTCCCTCCGTTCCTGAGAACCTTTGTCCTTTCTTTTTTCATCCGTCCTAAAAAATACTTCTTATTTCTATTTAAAAGTCACTTTTATCCCTTACTTTTTTCATACCGTACCTATCACATCATACCTTTTTACTAATGATCTACCCATCAAATCCTACTTTTACCCATCACATCAAAGGATATTTTGAAAATTCAATACTAAAATACACTTTCCTTAAATCTCTTCAAAAAACAAAACATTTCATGTTTTATTGGACGGGGAGTATTTTTTTTAATTAATACACAATGTATAATGTATAATTAATTTAATTGATGATCAAAATTTGCCTTATTTAATTGCAAAAAGTGATAGTAAGAATCTCTAATCTCTTGTCTCTTATTAGCCCACCATAGGTGCACACTATCAAATGGAAGATCAACCACAAAGAGAGATACACTTCCTCCCGGCGGCCACTCATTCCGCCGCCGCCGTCATCACCGCCGCCACATTCCATGCCCCGTCCCGGCCAGGCGCCGATTCACCGGCATCGAAATCCCGGCCCTCCGCGGACGCGTTCGATGGCCCGTCGCTAGACCTGCAGCTGTCGATAAGCCTCAGGCCGCTGAGGCCGCCGCCGGAGAGACCGGCGGCGGTGAAGATCGACGCCGGGTACGTGGAGGCGCTGAGGTGGCAGGCGGCGGAGCAGATCCGGCTGGCGGCGATGGAGAAGGCGTACGCGGAGCGCGTGAGGGAGCTGACGAGGCGGGAGATGGAGCTGGCGCAGTCGGAGTTCGCGCGTGCGAGGAGCGTGTGGGAGAGGGCGCGTGAGGAGGTGAGGAAGGCGGAGGAGCTGAAAGAGCGGGCGACGTTGAGGATCGATTCTACGTGCATGGAAATTACTTGTCATTCTTGCTGCCAAAAATTTCGACCCACTGCATAATAATAATAATAATAATAATAATATAAATATATATTCAGAATAATATATTTATCTTTCAGTATATTAAATATTTAAATTCCAACTTATAATAAATTTTGGAATTGAATTTTCAACTTATAATCTGAATGATTTATATAATCTTTATAGGGTTCTTTTTTGTTAGATTATATTGTTTAAAAATTTTAATATTAGGTGATTACAGTTTATATATAAAGAAGAGGAATCAGAAAATATGAACACCGTTTTCTATTTTAGAAAAAGAATGAGAAAAATATTTTAGGACGTTATCTAAAGAATGAGAAATTAATTTTTGGATGGAAGGAGTATTTATATTACTCCTTCCGTCCCAAAAAGTCTTTCACGTTTCAAAAAAATGGTGTCCTACAATTGCCTTCCCATTTATATTAAAAAACCACTTGTAACCCCATACTTTTTAATACCAGAGTTATCACATTATACCTTTTTTTCTAATAATCTATACATTAAATCTTATTTTTATCCATCATATCAAGAGTATTTTTGAAAAGTCAACACAAAATTATCTCTTCATTATTTTTCCACTTTAGTCAAATGTCTCGTGTCTTTCTTTCTGAGACGGAGGGAGTACCTTTTTTTTAAATTATGTAATACCCTTCAATTTTTGTGTTTTTAATTGATGTATGTCTCAAATTAAGTGTGTCTTTACTTTTTACAAAGTCAGACTTTATTTAGCTTCAAGTAGGGGCAAGGTCTGCGCACGCCACCCTCTCCGGAACCCGTTCTCGTGGGATTACACTGGATAAGGGCCGGCCTCGAAAAATGAAAAAATGAAATTGGACCGGTCCAAAATTTACATTTTGGTCCCTCTTTTATTATTTTAGAATATTTATGCTTCAAAATTAATGATGAATTTAAAAATATGAAACCCTAAAATTTTAGGAATTCTGTGCGGTTGACCACTTTACACACCCTCGGGGCCACCCATGGCTGGATTGTTGGTCTTGGAAATCTTATTTAGTTTCTTTTCCTATTTTTCTCTTTATAGATTGTAAATCCATAGAGACATTTAAATTGGGACGTGGGAGTACCAAGTGAATTAAAGTAAAAAATACATTTTTCACCTTGTGTTTGATGTGTTCAATAATATAATGCCACTTTTGTGTTTGTCATCTTCTTGTCTTCGTTATATTCTAGGACCTGTTTTTTTCTGAACCCTAAAATATATGTTTGACCGACCATCATGTACTATACCCTCTTGTCATCATCCTTCGAATCTTTATATATCACTCATCAAAAACAAAACTACAGAAAAAAAAAATGCATCTAATAATCAACTTCTTCCCTTTATCATTACACTGCTTGAACTTTCATCTTTGTCATATTGTTGGAGCCGAAATAAAACTTCGTCCCTAGATATTTGTCACATTACATAATTAAAATGAAACAAATTTTTACGTTTTTTTCAATGTATTTTACTTAAAAATTTATGTAGAAATAAAAATAAAACTTTCATATTTATTTCTTATTCAAAACAAGTGGTGAATGGTCATCTTTGTCATATTGTTGTAGCTGAAATAAAACTCCGTCCAAAATATTTGTCACATTACACAGTCAAAATGAAACAAATTTTTTCGTTTTTTTCAATTTATTTTACTTAAAGATTTAGATAGAAATACAAAATAAAACTTACATATTTAAAAATTACGTGAAAAATTCTTATTCAAAACACGTGGTGACAAAAATATTTTATTTTATCAAATAGTTAATGAAAATGTACAAATAAGCTAGAGCAAATATGCAAATTTTTATTATAGTCACCTTTTGTTTCATAGAACTTCTGATTCGGTTTTTAAATATGCAAATGTTTATTTTTAAATTTTACTCCAATTCTCAAATAGATTGTAACGAATATAATTTTAGTCAAATATCGTAAATCGAAACACAAGATTTAAATTGGGACAGAGCAATCGAAGTAGAATTTTAATGTATTCTATTTTTAAGCTAGTAACTATAAAACATTAAAATACATTACTATATTTTGAAACACGGAAAGATTTTGTGCTCCATATATGTATTGCTAATACTTCTGTTTAAGAAATTACATTAAAAGTTCTATAAAAAAACAAGAGGTGATTGATATAAATATCTATTTTTCAATTAATCAACGAAAATACACAAATAAATAAAACTTATCGTGATATGGAAATAGTAGAGTGACAGAGAGAGTATATACATTCCATATTTTATGTTCATAAAAAAATTACATAGCACAAGGGGATGAGGGCATTTGCACACCGAGGTGATTCTGGCAGAAGTATTCTGAGGTAATTCGACACGATTCTGAGTAAAATATAACACACCCTTTTTGACATATAACGCTATAATGCTATTTATCGATTTAGTTTCCACGTAAATATTCTTGTATTCATATTATTTTGCATACTATATATGCTTGAATATCCATGGATCAATAATCCATCAAAATACTACTATACATTTCTTTTCTCTTTGCCATTCATCACAAGATGTAGATGGGATCAACTTAAATGTTCCAAAGAAGTCATGAAGAACTCTGCAAATAATAACAAGTTTTAAAAAAAGTTTATGCTTTTATGTTATTTTCTTCGGGTGCGGCGGGGCATTGTTTCCGGAAGGCCTTCTCGGGATCCTTCCCGTCAATCTCGGAGTGGTGAGGGAAGCCGCACCGCAACCGGTCCGCCGAGAACCAAACTTCACTAAGAACTCTCACCACTTCGCCGTGGACCACCGCGTTGCCGTCTGGCGTGAGGTGCAAACCGTCGCTGCAAATGATGGGAAAGGTCAATAGCAATATAATATGCAGAAGGGTTGGTTCCCATGACATTGGTTCGATGACCAACAGGAGCCTTACGGTGCTTCGTTCAAAAAATTGACGGTTTTGCCCCCTAACCTCCCCACACCCACACCCACACCACTCTTCCCTTTCCCAAAAAAAAAAAAAAAATTAAATCTACCCCTACTCAAATCCAGTTACGGTTATGCCCGTCCAGGGACCGACCTATGTCCACCCCTACCTACAACCATAAGTTTAAGCTTTTGGTTGAATCGATTCATTGACAAGTAGCACCGGTATAAAAGCCCTCACATAGCCTTTTTTTTTTTCAATCCTCACAATGAAAGATGAATATAAACACTGACCTTAAGAATCTCTTTTGCCAGCCCTCAGTTTCCTGCATTTTGGACCAAAGATTTATTGAAGGGAGGTCCAACTCCAAGGCTAATTCAAGGCACTTCTTTGCATACTCTCCCGTCACTTCATTCGTCCTCTCTGGCAGTTTCATTGCTTTGTCGCCATAGATCGACCTGCTCAGTATATTAGAAATGTCTTAGGGGCCGTTTGGATAAGATATCCATAGCTGTTATAACTTATAAGGGTACTATTTAAAAAATATTACGATATTTGGAGAAGAAAAAAATATATGTAGTAGATATTTCAAATAAAGTTGCGATTTTCGCAAGTGTGCTAAAAATGATTTCATACCTTGCATATTCTTTGCGACCCACCTCATCAATCGGTGGCGGTGTTATAATCACAACAACCATAGAGGGCGAGCATTGCTGCAAGTGTTTGCCAAGAAGAGTAAGTGAAACAAGCAAAGGAAGACGAAAAGATGACAAATTGCGTAAAAGCAAGGAAAGCACACATTGGAATAACTTCATTAGAGTAATAGTAATCCTTCCGTCCCATTCTATCAGGCTTGCTTTATGGTCCGTTTGGAAAAGAAAAAAGGGCTTCCGAAAAATTACTTCTGGGAAATAAAATGATTTTCGGGTGTACATCATGTTGAATGTTGGAAAATGAAAAGAACTGGTTTTTGTTGTTTTAATATAATATAACGTGGTGAGTTTCGATCGAAGAGGGAGAAGGATGAAAAATGTCTTCCCTCGGGAAACAAACCGAAAATCATTTTTCCACCAAATAAAAGGTTCATTTTCCATCGAAAATAGTTTTCTGTTGATTCCTAGTTTCTAGAACAGCCACACACCGGAAAATGAAAAAAAAAGGCACTATAATTTGCGATGAATCAATTAAAAGGAAAATATTAAAATAAGAACAATAACTTGGGACATAGGGAGTAGAATTAGAACCTTGAGATGTTGAACAATTTTTCTTAGATTTTCTTTGTATTCCTCAAGAGGCACATGCTGCCTTTCACTTGTCCTCCCAGAGAGCGCCGCATCATTTGCTCCAAAAAAAATAATGGCAACAGCGGGATGGTTTCTAGAAGATTCCTCCTACACGCCAAACAAACCCTTAGAGTCCAAGAATATACAAATGCATTACCATAGCACATCAAAATAAAAGGGCATAATACAAAGGTCAGTAAAAAAGGGACCAAAAGACTGGGACAGAGTCTATACATAATCTTGTAAAGAAAGACTTTAATCCTAATCAAAATGAAGTCAGTCGGGACTCGGGAGCGTAGCTCCATAAAAGTGTAGCATTTAAACGGTAGTCTCAAAAGCCAAATTTACCACTTTGCTCCTTATGCACCCATTGTACCCAAAGAGAATGTTTGAGTGAATATTCCATTAGATCTTCCCAAGTAGTGCATTATTCCAGACCTTCATACCTTTCAAACCCAAATCACCTTCACATCTAGGAAGAAAAATATCATGCCAAGCCACTTTACAAAACTTACATTCCCATAGGAAGACACGACATAAGGCGGTGATACATTCAAGCATGGTAGCATGGACGGGAAAATCTTAGAGCCAAAAGGATTACACCCGTTGAATCGCCGCTTTGTAAGTTCAATCCGTCCAGCATATAACAAGGATTTGGCATTTTGATCAAACGGTGATAGTCTCCAATCTTTTCCATAAGAGGATCAAATTAGGCCACCGTAATTCTCTTAGGAGACGACAGAATCCCAAGATACTTTGTTGGGAATGAGCCTTCCAAGAATGGCACATGATCAAAGATAGCCACTCACTTCCACA